GGGGGGGGGGGGGGGGGGGGGGGGGGGGGGTTGAGAGGCCTTCCAAGAGCTATGGCGTGGGCTGCTGTCCAGATGAGTAACAGCACCTGCCGCAGAGCGGCGTGAGATAGGATGCCATGCGCGGACGAGACAGAAATTGGGCGGGTGGGGAGGATGTGGTTGCAGTCAGAGCAGCCGGGTTCAGCACGAAAGCAGAAGTGTCAGCTCACCAATTGCCTGACCGGCGCTGCGTGGGCATGAGCTGCAGCCACCGTGGGAGAGGCAGGGCGTAGGGCGAAGCTCAGTGCAGGAGCTGGGTCAATGTAGGGATCCACAAGGGAAGCCCTTCCTGCAGGTGGAGAGACAGCACACAGGTCCTGGGATGGGGAGAGGGGGCAGAGGCCAGGGATGGTGGGGACAGGAAAGCTACTGAGATCAGTTTAACCCTTGTATTTATTACCTATGTAGCCCTTGTATTGGTTACCTACTACTAAGGAGCCCAGAGACCTGTGGCCAGGTGCAAACCATCATCGACTTGGGGCTGCGTCTCCTGGCTTGAAAGGCCCCACACACCTCCTGTAACACGAATGCCCCGTGCAATTCCCATAGCATCAAGCTGGCTCAGAGGAAGGGCCCGGAGGGCAGCAGCGCCCAGCAGGGTGTGGACGTGCCAATGACAGTTCGAGTCCCATTTTCTGCCTTAAAAATAATGAATAAAAAATGGGTGGCAACTGAATGCCAACCAGCCCAAGACTGAAACATGCCGATGCATACCCACCTACCCGCCGGGGCACCCTTGGTGAGGGGCAGCCTCCAGCCCAGACACCCCTGCTCCCAGGAGAGATCACAGGGTGCCAGGAGCCGCGCGTAGCTCCCTGCTCTGTGACACGGATATAAAGGGGTGAGTGGGCAACTTCAATCTGCAGCTTCCTTGGTGATGAGTCAGAGCATCGCCTTGGCTGCAAAGCAGAAGTGCCCCAGCTCTGCATTGCCAACAGCTGCCTGGGCCACTAGCCAGGAGGCCCAGAACAGCACACCACTTCCCAGACAGTTTTCTTTCTTCTCGCCGACAGCAAAGCGAACAGACCCCTGGTACTGCCTCGGAGGCGAATCCTCCAGAGACACAGGGAGAGGGGGGAGCTAGGCAGAGCCCAGCGACTACGGCGAATCTGCCCTGAGTGCAGGAAAAGGCAGAGAGCAGCCCTGGGACTGCGCCGTCAGGACTCTGCAGGCAGCCCGCGGCTCCCAGCAGCGTGGCTGTGAAGCACGTCTGCTGCGGAGCCAGCTGCAAAACGTTTCACCCAGGGACAGGGGTCAAGTCAGATGGGGAAAAAAATACATAAGGGACCAGATCGGCAAGGCAAAGGGAAGGGAGATGAGGATGCAGGCGGGAGAGTGACAGCACAGTGGAGGGAGGGGGCCTGATGCTGTCACCAATATGGTTGCTGAAAACAACCTTGACCTGGAGCGCTGAGACAGCCTCACATTATCAAACGTGCAGCTCCAGCCTTGTCTGCCCTCAGATCTCAGCCGCTGGCAGAGCTGCAATAACGCAAACCCCCTCCGAGCCAGCGAACTGTGCTGTCTGTAGACACCAGCACAACACGACGGGTCGGCATAGGTGCGACACCGTGCGTATATGTATGTGTACGCGTGTGTGCACACAGACACACACACACACCCACAGGCAGGTGCCTTTACAAATGTTACTGCATCTGCCACGGCCCGAGAAGCCTGGGTGAATTACAACTGCTTCATTTTTAAAGGGGCATTTTATAGTATTCCCAATATCCGGGCAATGCGTTTTACATGCATTCTGCATCTGGAGTTCTCACAGCTGCTACAAGGCCTGGAGGTATGGCCGAGCCCACTTAATACACTCACACAAATGAAAGAAGAAATAAGGAGATCTGCCAGGCTACAGTTTGAGAAGGAAAGCGCACAGGGCCCATGTGGTTTGCCAGGCGAAGTGAAGTAGGACAGAAGGAGGCTGGAAGGTGCAAAGAGACTTTTCCCCCCCCACTTGCTTCTGCGCCTCCCGAATCGCAACCGTCTCCACTGCCGGGAACTGTAAAAGTGTTCTGCAGCAAAGCGACGGAAAAATCCAAAGGCTTCATTTCCTAGGCTGGTCCGCTTGAGGAAATGCAGCTTGAAGCCAGCAGTCTGCTTCCCCCGGGAGGGAGCGTATGGGCTCCACCCTGCAAGCAGCAGTGCCTGGGGCCAGAGGAAAGGGCTGGCACCTATTAGCTCTCAGGTGTTATTCCCGCCTTTTTCAGTGATCAGCCTCAGCCCCACGTTGTACTTAGGATCCGATCCAACAAAGCACTTAAGAATTGGAGCAGACCCATCAGCTTCAACAACAGGATTACTCACAGGCTTAAAATGAAGCGCATGCTTAAAGGGATGAGAACTCTGGCAGCGTGCAACCATATTCACTTGTTCCGTGACGCTCCACGGGGCGGACAAGCATCACCCTCTCCCCTTGAACAGCAGGAGAAAATGGACGGTTTGAGAACTAGGTGACTTGACCAAGGCTGCAGAGCAAGTCAGTGACTCAGGTCTCCATCTACTCCAAGCCTAATTCTTTCACCTGGCGACCCCAAACAAGTCATTTAAATCGCCCGAGGCCATGCCTACATGCAGCTGGGCACTGATAGCTGAAACGCCTCTGGCACAGATATACGAAGTGAAGCGCAGCTGGGATTTATGGACTCGAAAGGAGCTTCCAAAAACTGATGGCCTCATCTGAAACATCTCCCCCTCCTCCTGGGGACTAATGGTGCGCTTTGAGGGTTGGTTCGATCACAGCCTCTTTCAAACAGAGCTGGGCTCAAGCAGCATAGCCCTGCCCCAGATCAGAAGTGCCCCAAAGTCGAGGAGTTTCAGTCCAGGGCCCTGCACTGCTTTTATTAAGAGCAAGTAAACGTGCATGCTCTATTCAGACAAGCAAAGATGGCCCCTGCCCTCCGCATGAATCTGAGCCACAAAGGACTGGAAACAAAAGAGCTGCAGAGTATGAGAAAGCTCGTACCTACCAGGCAGACAATTTGGGTAGAAGCCAGCAGCAAGGCTGAAGTGATTTGGTAACCCACAAAGACTGTGCAAAGTGGTTGAGTCTGCTCTAATCGATTTAAGACAGAGGATTTGATGGCACATCAGGAAATGAAAGTTTGCCAGTAAGTGCAGGCTCATTAAAAACAGCTCATTAAAGGAAAAGTGGGGGACCCCCCCCCCCCAATCTAATTATAGCTGGAATATGGTGGAGAATTAGTCTCCAACTTTCCATGGTGTAATACTGTACCGTCATTCGAGGGGCGGATGCGCCATACAGCGCGTGGACAAGGCGCACCCATTCGGAGCTCGCTGAGATTACACACCGACCCCCAGCAGGTCCAGCCAGCGACAGCTGCCCTTGGACTTTGCGGGAAATGGCAAGGCAAAGTAGGTCAAGGTTCCCCGACAAGAGCAACGACGGGTTCTTAAAGGTCTGCCACAAAAGGCAGGCCGGGACTGTGACCTTTACAACCAGAAAGCCAGGATGAGTCTTGACAATTATGCGTCGGCCCCTTCCCCCAGCCCCTGTCGAGCAGTGCCTGCAACTTCTCTCTTCTTCCATGAGGAAAATCCTACTGCAATTATGGCTGGGCCAGACAGAGCGCAGGGATCAGCTTCCCTCGCATCCAGAGGGCAATGCGGTCCTACACGGAGGCATTTCCCTTTTCCAAGCGCAAGAATTGAGCGTCGTTAACCCAGGACTGCACGCGGCCATAAAGAGAGATCACTAGGGCTGTGCGCACAAACGATGGCCTGCTGCAGCCTCAGTTATGCCTGGCTTTTTATGAACTAGTTGAATCTATGGAGGGGTCATCTCCCATGCACGGGGTGACAGCATTTCAGGGAGCCGACTGTCCACACGTAATCCACTGGCCAAAATCCCCGAAGGTTATTCTATGTGCATCGGGCCGTGAGAATTTAGCAAGCGGAAAGAAAGAGGGATGCTGGCTGAGAAACTCCTCCTCTAGAACCAGTTTTAGGGGGAAAAAAGAGACTGAGAAACAGCAACACTCAGTCAATCAGAGGGGGGAAGAATTGCTCTTAGGAGGGCTTGCACACACATGGGAAATAGGCTAAAGGGCTGCAGGGCTTCCCCCCTGGCATGGCAGTGCTAAGGGCAACCCCTGGCTCCACCTTCACCAGTAGGTGCCAGTGTTGGACTCCGGGAAAGCATCCAGGAGAGCTCACACATGCAGAAAGCTTCGATGAGATGCAAAAAGCAGAAAATTCCCGGGTTTTGGGGGGTTGTTTTGTTTCGTTGCTGGCCCAGATTCCTGGCGCTGCTGCCACGAATAAACATGAGAAGATTATCCTCCCTTGGTCTGAAGGAAGAGCAGGAGGCAGAAACATAGGAGAGATGTCACCCGCGTGGGAAAGCAGCCGCGCGTGGGCAGGGTGGGTGGCAGCTGGACAAAGAAACCCACTGCCAGGGAGGGGGAAAGACGCCTGAGCTGCTCCAGGCTTCGCTGCCTCGGGCGAGCACTTGGCCGGTCCTGGAGCTCCCAGGAGACACTGTTGCCTCTTTTAATTCATTTTATTTATTTTGGCGTCCAAACATGTTTCGTCCTCTCCAGGAGGTCTCCCAAGGACAGAGGAGGAATGCATCGGGATGTTACGGCCGCTCCGATCCTGCCCCCGCTCTGCCGGGCGCCGCAGGAGAGGCGGTATCTGTTTCGTATTCATTGTTTTCTCTCCCCCGTGCTCTGCAGAAGCAGACAGCTCGGAGGCACAGATGGACACAATGTTCTCGGAGCGTGTCAGACGGAAACCCTCCTCCTCATCCTCCCGTCGCACGTTTTCTCTTGCACTTCAGCAAAATTGGCCGATTATGCACAGAATGTCCCCGAAGGATCTGTGGGCCTCAGCGGCCAGGGGAAGCCAAGGGAGATCCCGAACAGTGCACACAGCACAGATAAGCATCCTTGGTACCACGGAGGCAGGAGACAGAAGTGGGGAGGGGGGACTTGGAGCTACTTTCCCCTTCTCTGTAGCTCGTCTGAGCCTCATTGTTGATGGGAGGATTTATGAAACAAAAAACCCATCAGAAGGAATGAAATGAGCCAGCAACAAAAGCCTGCTCTTGACAGAAGGGCAGCTTTGTTTTAAAGATGCCCTGAGCAGATGCTGCACCCATGGGCTTCTACTGGGTAGGTGCTCAGCCCTTTTTGGGGGGTGGGAGTTGAATTATGGCATTACGGCCCCCCACAGTGACTGGGCAGTAACCCCTCAACTGCTCGGGCAGCTCTCCCTTTCCTCCAGCCCCCGAAATGTCCTGGCTTTCCTTTTTTAGCATCCCTCCTCGGTGTAACCAAAGACCGACCCTCCACTAAAAGGCCAGCCAGGCTCTACAGTCACGCTTCACTCGTGACCTGGCTTGTATGTCCTCAGTCAAGCCAGCTGCTGGGCTAGCAACGCAGTCCTATATAAGGTGAAGTCCCCGGTTCTCTAGAGCAAAATGCAAAAAGGGAAAGGGTCTGGTGCATGGGACCAACCTGCCGGGGCCAAACAGCTGGAAACACCAGCAGATCCAAGAGGGCACAAGGGAATCATCTGGGCAATTATCATGGGTCCTATTCCAACTCCTCTCCCAGGCCCCTGTGAAGTGGCCTTAGCTCAGATACACAGATGCACCCAGCTAAACCTCTGGCTACCAGAGTGGCTGGGAGGAGCCAGGAAAATGATGGCAGCAGATTCGGCCCCTATCACTCAAGTACAAGGATGGCTCAAAACTACCCGGGATTCATCCAAACTCTCCCTGTCACTGCAGGGCATGACCTGGGCACCCCAGGGAACATGGCCCAGAGCTGTCAAGCCATCAGTGCACCTGGGAATTGAGTCTTGGGTCACGCAGCTCCAGTGCCCTCCAGGTCCCTCTCACGAAGAAGAGCCATCCTTCCAGAAATGAGAGGACACCACACAAGTTCACCGCTCTTGCTTCTCGGGTGTGGGGAAGGGGTTAACCACCTCCCACCAAACCCAAACGAGGGAACCATCTGTGGTTTCCAAGTGCTCCAGATGCTACGGCCGCCTTGCAGAAGAGGCAGTCCTGAGACCACTGCATTTCTCCTGGTATTGCAGCTGTTCCTCAGCCCACTGCTCTCCCTTCCCCTTTCTGCTTCCCTTAAGCCCTTTTGGTACCTCGGTGGGGAAAAGCAACTGAAAACAGGTGCCTGGGATTAATTAAACTGAACTGTTTAAAAACAAGACCAAATTGTGCTGAGCCTCTGGCCAAGGCGGCCTGGGCAGCATATGGTAACCAAAAAACAAAATCCATTCACAAGGAAGATGGGCATGTTGATCAACAGCCTCTTGCCCTGAAAATACTAGGAGAACCATCTCCTGCCTCCAAACCAGGAAGTTTGAGGAGTGGTTTTGAACATTAAGGAAAGTGCAAGGTCTATGAGCCAACACTTGAGAGCAAACTGGGAATCAATTAAAAAATTTCCAAGCAGAGGTGAGTAGAAGTAGCGACCTGTGCATTATGCAGAGTTGAGATGAAAAAAGAAGGGGCAAATGAACATAGAGATGAAGAAACACAAAAGCTTAACCTCAACCGAACCATAAAGGAACTGCCAGAGACTGAAAGGAAGAGAAGAAAAGGACACACATCTGTGGACACTGCCCAGGGTTAAGGGAGCACTGGCGAGGGACATGCAATATCGGTCTCCACATCCATTTTAGAGGACTGGATGCATCTTTATGTACTCAATTTGCTATTGGATAAGTTCGATTTGTTAATAAAAGAACAGGCTGGGAGGCTTGGTTCTGTGCTAGCTATAGTGCAGCCCACGGAGAGAAAGGGAAGAGGATTGCTCCGCTGCATTCATTTCTCTTTCCCCATTCCACTCCTGCAGAATTTGGTAGGAAGGTCAGTGCTGTCATATTTGCTCTTTGGATAGAGCACTAGTCCCAATTTCTTCTCTTTCATAATGACAGCCCAAGGATATGGCCTCCTTCATTCAGAACGGCCAGGCAGAGGGGCACCAGGAGAGACGGTTCATCTCTTGGGCGGCCAGGAATTAGCCGCCAGCAGGCACCATCAGGGAGCTTCAACAAGCAGCGGAAGTTACAACTGGTAAGGGGACAACAGGAAAGGAAGTGCTTCGCTGCAGCTACTGAAAGCCTTTTTAACGCCCCCACACAAAAAAAGACCACCACTGAGCGTTTGCCATACTCATCTCTTAACGGGCTTGTGGAAATCTTGGACCAGGCGGCAGTAAGCTTGTAACGTGCTGCTGGATTCTTCTTGCCGAGAGAGGAAGGGTGGTGCAATGGTGGTATTGAGAGAACCGAATTCAAGTCCCTGCTCTGCTGTAGTCATGAACCTGGGACAGTCAATAAGCCTCCCTGTGCTCTGAGGATAAGTGTTCCCTGTAACCAGCAGCATCAGTGGGAAAAGAAATAAAGCCTGCAAGAGTCTGAGTACTGCAGCAAGGGGAGGGGGTATGTAACTGAGATAACCTTCCCAGAGCAGATCCTCAGACCAGAGGCACATAAGAACTGCCCAGTGAGATTGGAAAGCATCCAGATACGGGTCTATTTTGTCCTCCCCCGAGTTAACGACTGGAAGGGAGGCACCTGGTTGACCCACCCAGCGGCCACCCTCCGGCAGCCCTGCCGGGGCACAGAGTGAGACACGCTCGGCGGGACACTGACCCTGCACAACTGCAAAGGCGCAACGGTCTCACATCTGTCAACTGTGCAGAGCTCCCCAAGTGCATTAACCCACAAAACTTTGGGGCCTCCTGCAAGCTCAGACAGGAAAAGGAGCACTGCAGCTTTCCCCCTGGTCTCCAGACAACAGACATGCCAGGGGATGGACAGGGCTGAGCTTGCGAGACAGCCCTCTCCTGGAACATGCAGAGCCACAGCAGCGAAGCAACAATGCCATGCTGAAAGCTTTTCCTGAGTGCACAATGCTTTTCAGGCTATTATGCTTCACAGAAGGGCAGCAGAGACGAGTGGCGTAAAAGGGTAGAGATCTGCTTTGGATGTGGAACCAAAGGACAACAGCATGGAGCAAAGGAGGACGCTCCAAAAAAAAGGTGCCAGCCGAGCAGTTACCTGCTTCTTCTTCAGCTTGGAGATCTGCTGTTCCACCATTGTGATCTCCCGATCCACTCGGTCCATATTCTGGATGAGCTCCTCTTTCGACAGCCTGGATGGCAACAGATCCAGCTCAGAGTCGGGATGAGGAGGGCTGACCGGAGACACAGGTTCCAGCTTGCCAGTCAGGCCCCGGTCCTGGGGAGAGCAAGGACAGTTAGGTCAACTCTGCCTGCAGAAGGAAGCATCAGTGCTTGCTCTCTGGCCCACAGTACAGATGGTCACTCCCCAGCCCACACCTGCTTTCCAGCCCCACTGAAAAAAAATACCCACCTGGCTACCCAACAGATCACATCCCCAATGCGCTGCACAAACCTCACCGGTTCCCCTTGGAAAACCAGGGGCACCTTTACAGAGGTGAAACCCATCCGTTGCTCTGGGATGAGGTCCTTGGACACCTCTTGCAGCCACAGGAAATTAAAAAAGGTCAAAACCAAGGCTGGCAGGGAGAGCAAAGGATGCTGAGCATGAAGCATGCTACTTGGTCAGTATTGACGCCCAGCAAGGGAAGAAGACCATTGCTCCAGATAGTGAGATAAAGGCTTTCAGCAGTACTGCCCTCCCTGCCTGTGGACCCCAGAAAGCCATTTGCACAGAGACAACAGCCTCCTTTTGTAGTTACTAGGGACAAACTCATAGCACTGTTTTCTCAACAACCATTACATTTACACAC